GGATCTCCTCCATAACTACGTAAAGGGCTGAATTTCCTTTTAGGATTCTTCTTATTGTCCTTCCATCCCATACACGAGGTGACCCATGAAATTGAAGAGTACTATCCTGGTTACTGATTGATGCACAAGAAAACCTGCCCAGTTAAAGAGAAAAAAAAGAAAAAAAAACAATCTTTCTAAAAGGAAAATTTAGTAGTAGGAATTCATTCTTTCTTCTTCTTTGCCTTCCAGGTCAGAGCCCTGGAGCTGGTTATTAAAAAATCATAACTCAAATTGCAAATCAACAGAATTTACCTCCGACCTCAATGAATCAAATTTTAATCAACTCAAATTCCTAAAAATAACTTTTCTTTACCTTCCATGTAAGATAGGAAATACTTCTTGAATTGTTTTCCTCACTGCCTCCTCTGACATGCTTTTGGAAAATTGGACCTGTCTTTTGTACTGTCCAGTCTTTCTCATTCTTGCCATCTCAATAGGGGTTGGCATGAGTATTTTACCATTCTCTTGAACCAAATCCTCTTTCTTCAACAACATCACATTTTTAGCAAAAACGTCCCCTCTCGTAGCTGCACCAGCTGTAGTTGAATGTGCGTCCTGAACACTGTTATCTGAAAAATGAACACGTAATTTGAAACAATACCATTATATTGCTTTACCCAACTTCAATGCTTTCAAATTTCACGAGTAAGTAGCATCCTTGCATAAACAACTTGGTGGCTTGTATAGTGACTAGGGCTTGGTACCAACTTTAGTATAGATGCCTCTTTATAAAGAATAAATTTCAAAAGCTGACTCGATTTTAAAGACAATCAAAATCACTGTTGATATGGGTTTGCAAACTTATACAGAGGAACCTCCATCCAGGACACAACCTTAGGACCAGAAAAGGAGTTGCTCATCACAGACAGTGGTGTTTATTTCGTGAAGGAACGGCTTTAGTGGAACCTTTATTCAGGGGAAAAATAAAAAAACCACAAAAAGTGTCCCCCAAAGAGGGACGTTTCTTCAATGAAGGTGACAGATACAGTGGAACCTCCATTCAGAGGACAAGCTGAAGATCAGAGAAAGTTCTCCCTAAATAGGAGTGTTACTCCAGTGACAGTAACTAATATAAAGATTTAAAGAGAAGTTTGTGAAGTCTGAATTCAAGGATACTTCCTTTTATGAAGGTGTTTCTAAAATAGAGGTTTTCCCAAATAAAAGCTCTAAACCATTAGAACATTTTACGAAAGGGAAATAAATTTGCAGGGACACTCAGGCAAGACATACAAGTATGTACCTTCAGGTTTTCCAAATGTTTCAAATCCTGAATCTAGGGCATCTAATGGCTGCAGAATAAAATACATAATGAATGGTAAATAGTTAAAATTGCCAGTTTTAGCTTAGATAAAAAGATATATTTGGAGGGGATGTAAAATGCAATTGAGAAGTCAAATCTTTTCTTGTACCATAATGATGTAAAGCAATAACTTACTGGAAATTTGAAAAAGCAAAGCTGACATAAGCAATACTAATACTTGCTGTTTTGTGTACTTGTTCATAAAAACAAAGAGAGAGGATAAAAATCCTTTGCAAAGAGTATTGAATGCCAGTTTCAAATTTTGTCCAGTTAGAGAGGTACTTTGTCAAATGGAGTGCTCAATTGACAGGAGGTGCTAAATTAAGGATTTATGATTTCATTGTCAGATTTAAATTTCCCAAACCAGAATTATCATCATCTATAGTTTTATACCTCAGATTCAGAAGTTTGTAAAGTGAAAGGTCCGCTACTTCCTTGGTCTCCAGACACAGCAATTGCACCTGCTGATTCTTTCTCTGCAACTTGGGATGAATCAGTTTTCTCAACATTAGGCTGTTCCTGATCTGGAGATTTGAATTTTTCTGTTTCCTGCTGTTCCCCTACTGAATCAGATCTGTCACCTTCTGGCCCTGTCAGAGAGACCAGCTGAGATAATTCAGAGGTGTCCAGAGTTGTGAAGGCCTCAGAACTTCCCAGAATGGATGCCTCTGTAGTAACAATGTTCTGTGATGGCTGAGATGCACTTGAAATATGTAAGCTCTGGAGCTGAGGGGTAAGTGTTGAGGTTTGTGGTGCTGATTGCAACCCTGGACTGTTAGAGGCAGGCAAAAGTGGCATCTGTACACTTTGTTGAGTAGGTACTGTGTTCAAGGCATTGTTTCCACCTAGTGCTGCAGGAGCAACAGTAATCCCTCCAGCAGGAGTAGGAATCATAAAAATTGGGATTCCTCCTAAATATGAGATCAAGAACTTAATAAGCTAAAATTAGGATTTTCTGTCTCAAATTAAAATTAGAAACAAAGTCTATAAAAACGACACTTTAGAAAGTGCACCATCGATAATAAAAGTAAATTTCTTATACATTCAGCTTCTAATAAACCCTTCAACCTCTTGAGGTGAATCAAACATTAACAGCAGGAGAATGAAGGAAATGATCACCAACTAATGGAGCCTTGATTGCTAATAAAACAAATTATCTTTTTCAACACCTTACAAAATATATGGAGAACAGTATGTAGAATATGCATACTGATGTTAGGGAGTAAATGTTTTTTACTGGTTGCACACATACTAGAGTAGAGGTAGAGAAGTGTATTGATTCACTGAAAATTTGACACCATCCCTAATTGTACAGTCCAAAATCATAAGTAAATGCAAATAGGAAATATTGCTTTGTTGACTCCTTACCCAGAGGCTGTTGCAGAAAAAGTATAGTATTACTTGGTGCCGGAGTTTCTTGCTGCACACTCATAAGTGGTCTTTCATTTGATAACTCGATATCACTTTTCTCAGAACCTTTTTCAGCTTGCCCTGGTACCAAATTTGAATAACTTGTATTGTTTCCAGGTGGACCATCATGTGTAGAAATAACATCAGGTGGCTTTTCATGGATTGGTTGACCAGGACTATTCATTGATGATAGTGACATTGTCACTGGGTTTACACTGCCTGTCAACTCTGCTATTGTTGCAATCCGGTCAAATGAACGTTTCACTCCCAGGTGCTCTCTAAAAGAAGACTCATATCCAAAATCTTCCACCACCTCTGATCCTCCAGAATCAGGTTCAAAAACTTCCTGTTGATGCTCCTGACAGATATAATACATCTAGCTTGCCATATTGTCCATAACTCGAGACAGACATGAAATTCTACCTAAAAAACCCTCCTTAAGCTCCCCTAAGAGAAGTTATTCCAATACACCTTGGGTCACATCTGTAAACAAGACTGACTAACTAACAATCTCAGGCTTCCCAGACAGGTTGCTGATACACAATCACATCCCTTGTGTGAAGTGGAAGGAATGGTGAAGCAGGGATGGAACTGCAATGAGGAGAAATTCCTCATTGGTCACTCTTGGGAGTGAACAGCCTAAGGGGTCCACATTGCTACCTTACCAGCAAGAGATTGAAGAGACTCAGTCATTGGTAAACTTTCACTGATACCCCCCCCCCAACACACCCTTCCCATACCTCTTCTATAAAGACATAAAGAGCTGAGTTTCCTTTTATTGTTTTCTTGATGAAGTGTCCATCCCAAATGCGACGTTCACCATGAAATTCTAATCTTGTTCGATTGTCAACCACTGAAGCACAGTAAAATCTGGGAAAAAAGGAATTACTTGGATTAAAAATGAAAGCTGTTAAATACACTAACTTATCTTCACAAACAAATATTTTCTGATGTTGCTGTCTTTCATTTCTTCATTTGTCTTTAGCAACAGTGTAAATACCATACATACTGAAAACAAGGATTGTTCTTACAATGATTGTTCCCAAAATAGTCCTTATTTGGGTTCAATAAATTTTAATTTTTTGTGATGGGGGGGGGGGGGGATTTTGAACTGATTCACTGATTGGATGTCCGACTGACTGTGACTGGTAGTCAGGGCAATTACTCAGATTGATTCACTAATTAGTTCCCTTATTCCATTGTTCTCATTTTGCCATATAAGGGTGACAGAAAGCACAAAACATGCCACACAATTAACGGTACACTGTTGGACATGGTTAAGCTGGAATGAAACTGTAGGTAATCCTGCTAAAAGTTTTGCTTTCCACAGTCAGCATTGCTGAAACATGATTATCTTAAAATAAAATTAATTTAACCTTGGCTTGGATTCGTTTCCTCTGATATAATTTTTGAGAATCACATTCAAATACATTTCATCAGTTATGGACTCAACAAGGAGAAAGATTTGCATTATGAAGCCATTTATTTCATAAGTGAATATTTATTCTGACTCGCAATAATCAGTAACTTGTATGACAGTGGTTGGTATATTAGAAGGGCGGCAAGCAAGATCCAAACAATTACAGGCCCATTTCTTAGACTTGCATATGTCGAAAGACTATGAAGCGCATAGTACTTAGCCACGTCCACAAGCACCAGTCACAAATAACATCCTTTTTAAACACCAACATGGCTCCAGGTCCAGACTGTCTTGTGAAACGCAACTGGTCTCAGCCATTCACGAGTGGGCCTCCATTCTCAACATTAAGGGTCAAGCTGATGTTATCCAACTCGATCTCAGCAAGGCTTTCGACAAAGTATCACATCCAAAGCTCTTACATAAGTTAAGTCACTACGGTATTCAAGGCC